GTCCAATAGTCGATTTGTTTACAGAATGTGTTAACGAGTGCTTATTCTGTTTTCTTATATTTGCTCAATGTGTATGTCTGCGTATGCTGTGTGTATGCCTGTGTATGAGTAGGGTATGGACTGGATGGCTGGCTGGCTGCTTACTGCAGGGCAGCGTTTCAACGGCTCAGTGGCAGCTGAGCTAGCTACACAGCCATCGTTATCTCGAGTGACTTGCTTGTACCCGTTCATTCATTGTAGGCACTCATTGAAATCTCAAATCAGCCCATGAGGTGTTTTGAATGGCATACTCCGCGCTTAGCATTAGCCGATCATCACTCATTGTGTCTTGAAAACAGGCACGCGTCCGGATCCAGATTTTTCAACTAACGAAAATGAGGACGTTAAAAAGCAGCGCTTGTGAAAAGAGAGAGATTAGAATGAGATGAATGAAGAGAGGAAGACAAAGGTGTGACAAGTAAACTAACTCAACTAGATTAGCTATCTGCCGTTTGCCGAGAGCCGAGAGAGGCCGGCTTTCGAGTAGCGCAAAGTCGCTCGCTCTGATTGAGGCGATTTGTAGCGAGGAAGATAGGTAACAAGCGGATGTTTTAGAGCAGAACTTGAACTTAGCAGCAGCGGCAGCGGCAATTGCCACTACTCATCCACTCATACTGTGCGTTTTCACATTTCGCAGTCCAGACTCGCCGCTGTGTGTCGGTCGGTGCATTTCCGCGCCCGGATGGCGAGGTAAATCAGGATTTTTAGTAGATTACGGAAGAGAGCACTAGAGAAAGAGAACCGTGCAGGGCCGCGGACTGGCCGGCAACAAGTGTTCAGCCAGAAGCTGCTGCATCTGCATCGACCAAGCCGCACGTGCTACTTGCCTGCCCTCTCTCTCCACTTTTTGTCTCTTCTGCGATGCGCAACGCACCGCGCGCTCAGACCGGACCACCTCCAGCAGCTGCTGCACTACAGCCACTAACTCTCGTGGCGGACTGGTGGGTAGGGTGTGCAGTAAGCCTTCTTGCTTTACTTTGCACTGCTTGTTGATCGCTTTGCTTCCTCCATTCGGCAAGCCGTTTCTGGCGTTTGCCGTCTCGAGTTCTGGTCGGAATTAAAATCTTGAAAGTGATATTACACGTTTATCACTCTTGAAAGCGCCATTGCCTCATCAAAATCATTCCGATTGACCGATCAACCACCCTATTTATTCCATTTAGACGTAATAGGTATGAGAATAGGTGATAAATTTACAAATTACGCCTGTTTTGGGAAACCTTCCAGAAGATTTGGAGATGCACTGTCTGCATTAGCTTGTGTTTGTCGGGGCTTAGCTGATTGATTTTTAGCCAAGGCTTAGTCTGGGCTCTAGGTGAGACCAGAGTTTCTCAGAGTAAGTGTTACCTGGAGTTCTCACTAATCAATATAAAATCACTCAATCACTCACTTATTCGCTCACTAATTCTCACTTGCCTCTCTCTAATTGCTACTCATATATTGAGGTGCACTTACTGTTTTATATCCAAAGCTGTCTCACTTTCTAATCAGAAAAACTATCGAATCCATTTTTTTAACTAACATCAAGGATCTCATACGCTATTTTCACGAATGAAAAAACATCGTACGTAACGCTATTAAGCATCCGCAGAAGTCGCCGACTTTACTTTTGTTCGTAAGCGCAAACAGGAAAACCCTGCGAAAGCACCTTCGAAATTTTCACTACCTCAACTCACAGTCCTTGCGCACTCTCCTCGCGCCAAACACTTACTCGCCGACCGGCCGAGGCATTTAAGTTCCGCAGTCATCGCGACTGGAGACCGCAAAGCCTCAGGTCAAGTGATGCCTCTAGTCGTAGCTGCACTCGATTCCTCTCCCCAGTCGAGACTCAGACTGGTGCGCGCGCGTGCACCGGCACTGAAGTTCTGCCTTCCTTTTCTTTTCTTGTCTTTTCACTCTTTCTCCATGGTTTGCGTACAAATTCAGCAGTTGGATGCGTCCCTGCTCCATTCTCTACCATTGAAATTTTTTTCAATGCTCGAATTCGTTTCGGGACTCTATTTTTAGTGTCTCCTCGACTGTGTCCTTGCCGAACAAGATTACAATTAACAATAACCATAAACTCGTCTCAAACATACATTTCCCTCCGGTCTTCCCTTACTCGCGCACTCACACTCATTCACCCAATTCACATACACTCGGTCACATACGGACACTTTTCAAGTAACGAATGCAATTACACTTGCGCCTATTCGTTTTCGTCTTTTGAGAAAAGTGCTAGGACTCCAATCAGGGCTAAGCAAAGCAGAGAAAAAGCCATTGCGGCCTCGTCGGCTCGAGTGACCAGAATTTACAGATCCTGTGAACCCTGTACAAACAGCACACCACACAGTCTACTAGAGTAAATCGGAAAGAAAAGATAACAATGATCTGAAAAAAGGCCCTATTCTACTTCACGAAAGTCTGATAGTCTACGAATACCCTACAGCCCCGATGCTGTTCAAAGGAAAAAGAGCAGATCAATCTACATCCTCGACTCGCAGTGGTCGTTTAAATCAAGGTTGTTGTTTATTTTACTCTAAACTCTCTCCCTCACACTTCCCATTCAATTTCCCAATCCACCACTCCATCCCGGTCCGCCTTACCGCCGCTATATCGTTTATGCGATCTCGGACCGGTCCGCACCATCAATATATCTCTGTTTCATCTCTCGGAAGCGCCTAATTCTCTTTCCTGCTCATGTTTCTAGCCTATCGCCGTGCTGCGAATTCATCGGTTTGCGCCTTCTCGCCTATTTCAGGTAGGTCGGGATAATTTTTTGTCTTTTCGAGTCTATTACGCTTTAAGTGATCACAGGTCAAGCGTCTCCTTGTCACCTTATGTGACAACAGCTGGGCATATGAACGTAAGAAAAAAAAAGAAGAAATCAAACAGAATCAATTGCAGACGACCATCCACGACGCGTAGTGTAACTCTTCTAACCACCTCTCATAAATCGCAGAGTATGTGATCTCACTCTTGATCATGGTGTATTTCGCTGATGTACAGTCATCTGCTTATCAGCATAATAGTCTGATTCTCTGAGGCACAGGCACACGTAGAGCACACTAAGCATCGACCTCTTCGTGACGAACTGTGCGAGCAGCCGGGCTAAGAGGAGATCTAATCTCGCGGTCGACTCAACAAAGTTTTAGCAAGCGTGTAAACACACGCGTCCAAGATTCGAGAAAAATCAGCACCGATAGACGAGAACGTCTCTTCGGCGTCACCTAGTAAAAAACTGAACAGTGATAGAACCAGATCGGCGAGTTCTTGCTGAGTTTGGTTCTTCGTGTTCACCTTAGTGTCATCACCAGTTTCCGACTCCCAACAACCTTGTCGGCCAGCATCGGGGTCACATTTTGAACTTCAATCCAGGCACACCCGAAATTCAAACGTCATAATGAATTGTGCGAAGCAATAGAGTTGTGCGCTGTAAGGAAATATTTGGCGAAATAAAAAAGCGACAGACCGGCCCGCATCGCCTACCTGGCGGGATGTAGATTATATCACGAATTTGCTGCTGTATCCAAAACTATGAGATCTGACAACTCGACAGTTTGTAATCTTCAGGACCACCGGCTTGGATATGCTGCTGCACCTCGGTTATTATTGTCCATGGAGTGATCAAAACCCAAGTACAACCTCATTTGACTTCGTTTGTTGACTGGTATTTCGGTCCTAGGAACGTTTGAAACGGCAGCTCAATATATCTGAGCACTTCACTCTTCCTTTCTGGCCCCATCCTTCGGCTCCAAAGGCGACCGTCGGCCGGACCCGGACGTACCATTGCCACGCCAGCATACTCAAATCAGACTCTGGTTCTTCATCAAGCCACGACTGGATCACGAGCTCGATCGCTCCGTGTGCCGCCGCGAGATTGTCTTCGCCCAGAGACCGAAACAAGTAATCGCGCACTTGGGCCGGGTGGATCCAAGTTGCATCCGAAGCTTTCAGTTCTGGCATATTACCCACCGCTGCTGTTGGATCAATACCGTTCAAGGCTTTCTTCTCCATTGCGTCCAGATCGAGCCCCCAATACCCCTCTTCCACATCACCGCGGCGAATGACACCTACCTCGATCGACCCTAGCGATTTGAGCCTGCGTAGTCCCTTTGGAATCAAACTCTCCTCACTGACGTTGCTGCTTTCGGGTTTGATCCCTATACTCTTTGCTTTCGTCCGGGAAGCCGACGACGCAGTCGCGCTTGCAATCGAGAGGTACGATCCTGCCCCGAACGAAGGATACAGATGCTTGAGTACGCAGTACGCAAACAGCATCATCAACGGCGCCCGGTTAACTGAAAACTCTGAAGCCTCGATTTTCGTGAGATCGTCCGTCGTCGGAAGCGCAAGCGCAATGTCATCGATCGGCTCTTGCGCGTTCTTGACTCCGAACTTGCGACCGCGTTTACTCGGCGCTGGCTTCTGCTGCGATGACGACTCGTCAAGGGTACTGGCTCGTCGCTTTGTGGAGGATTTCGAAGAACATGCTTTTTGCAGCTTCTGCAGTTGCTGGGGGGTAAGTCCACTGCAGATCGTTTGCAGTTCGTCGGGCGCACGCGCACCGATTTCCTCCTTCCTGTAGTCACGAATTAGTCCCATTGTTCTCATTTATCAGACTTGAAACCTCAAAGAATAAAGTAGCAATATGAAGAAAAACACGTACGTTGATATACCCGCTTTGACCAGTGCCGAGGCAACAGGTAATGCTCCAGAGAGAGGTAATTTGCAAGAGGAGGTGATCAACCGCAACAGCTCATTAATTGCCGACGTCTTGTCTGCCTTTGAGGAGGACATACTGAGAATTAACTATTCAATCATGAAAGAATTTACAATCCATAAAAATTCCCCGCTCATCGCACTAGCAGCTGAAATAATCCTGCAGGGGGATGGTAATGAATTCGCTCGTGTTCAGCTTAATTGTCTGGCACTCCTAAATACTTCAATCTTGGTTCCCAGCTTACGCGAGATTCAATTTTACCCTTTCCGCTGCCCCTTTCGAACATCAATTTGCGGGCACTAACCAGGTTCTCTTCAATTTCTCTATTTATATTTTTTACACAGACGGTCTGAAACAGATCCATACCTCTGGTGATCAATTTGCTTGGTAATAATTGCTGTTTATTTGCTACTATGGAGGCAGAGCGACAGACTTGCATAACACCTTAAATCCGCCGTTGCATCTCTTCACATGAAAGCAACCAGTAACGAGGAATACATCATACAGTGTATTACGACATACCGAAACCAATACTTTCTAGGGCAATCATATTCGTACCCCCCGAGGTTCCTATTCTCCTTGTCCCACTGACAGCCCCTCGAACATGCAGAAACGGCAGCGCAACACACTTCGCCGCAGGATAATCCATCTGCGAAGCATGCTTAGAGACCCCCTCCGGAGTAAATGCGACGTAAGGATGACGGAAATCCGCCGGTTTTCGTCCGTCGGCAGCTGTTGACGGGCTCAGCCTTCGCACGTCCGTCGAGCCGTTCAGCCAAGCAGTCTCGCACGCTCGACCGTAAAACTCATCGATATCTTTACCGTCAAGTTTTGCGGCTTTCTTCAATTTCAAAGATTGCTGCAGCTCACGCTCGGCCTCGCAAAACACACAGGTGCACGATTCGTATCCAAGAGGATCGTCTCGGAACCGCGATTTCCACAATGAGGCACCCTTCGAAACCGACGAACTCGCTCGTTTCTCGGATATAGAGTCATCGTGATCTACCAGCGTTCCTGTGATTTTCAAGGACATAGCAAAGTATATCTTGGGATTCAGCTGAAGAGTATGCCACACTAAATCAACATCCATCGGAGGCGCAAGCGAATTGTCCGGGTTCTCGCGCAAGAGCACGAAAAATTTGAGCAGTCGCTCAACCGCTCTCGAAAGCGTCTCATGCCTGAACGGAGATGACAGATACGACAATGCAAGAATGTTATCGACAAACCCGCACTGATTCACAATCGCCGACTTCAGATTGATTGCGAATTTGGTCGGATTGTCGTCATACCGAATCAACATCCGCCGTAGAACGTCCTCGTGCCCTTCACGATACACCGGTCGCGTGTTGAATTGCTCGATTACCAAGTCTTTGCCGTAAATCGCCGATTTCGAGATCTCCACCCGGATCTTGTCCAGTCCCTCGCCTTCTCCAATGGTAAGTTTCTCGGGCCTGAATTTCCTTCCTAATAGATGATTTGCGAATCCAGAGTGACAATACTGGTGACTGTTCTCCAGACCATATGTATCGAAAAATGTTCCTCTGCATTCTGTCAGCACTTGTCAACCGAATTTAAAGCAAGAGACAATAACTCACTTCATGGGAATACCATCCCTAGACAGAGTCTTGAAGTCCTCCAAAAACTGCATAGCAGCAATTCCTTCCTTTGAAATCTTAATCCCACACTTTGGGCACACCTTTGAAAACTTATCCTGCGCCCAGCCACTCCCGTCTTCCTGCCACCAAGGCACCACGATCTCATTCTCGAGGCAATTGTGACACTTTAAGCGCTTGGGAATCACATCGCGATCGATGTCAAACGCGGCTCCAGTCTTGGTCTCGAAGTTTTGATGGGCATCAAGTGGTGGGTCGTAGGCTAGAGGACCATTTGGATCTGCTGATGCGGGGCGAATTACGTGGTTCTAGGATTTGACATTTCGTTAGCGATAGAAAATAAAAAAGATGATGAGCAAATGGAAGATTCACAATCTCGTCCCAAGGAAATGGCATGGCAAAATACGCAGCCTGTCTCGATGATCTCCAACAATCATCCCAGTACGCTCGTGGATGCAGCATATGAGCATGCCACACCATAAGCACATCAATAGGCGGTAGCTGATCTGCCTTAAGACCTTCTGTAAACCCGCTCATAAACCGCAGTCTGACGGAGAATGGCTCAGACGGCAGGCCTTCGAACCATCTCGTATATCGCTCGACTGCCTTGGCGATGTAAATAGCCCACCGATCTTCAGGCGTGAGACGGGGTATCGGGTCGTGCTTGCTGTCTCGGGTTTCAAATAAACCCTCACACTTCATGATATACAGCTTTGTATCACGAAAGACCTGCAATAATTGCAAGTGCGACACAATCTCGTGCTCGTTCGGGAACGCATCGTCAGGAAAGTGTCGGAATATCTCCGGGGGGAGGTTTCGAGCAGCGTACGGCAGCGGGAGGATATCACCCTCGGGTCTCGATTTCAGCGCTTCATCAATCTTTGTTACCACTGTCTGTCTTGTGGTAGAGAATGGTGCCAATGAGATTGTGCCGAATGTCGTTTTGTAGATAATGGAGGCAAGAGCATCTAACGAACTCATACTGACTTGCCAGAGATCGAGCGTTGACTCAATTAGCTCACTGTAGTAACAAAGACAGCTCAAACAACTGTGCCTATCGCAACGTAGACCAGAAGCAACAACAACTCAACAGAAATAGACGGTGAACATACCTGGCTGCGCTTTATCGGTTGAAACAAGAGCTGTACGCTCGTAGCATAACAGTCAAAGACCACCTCCTTTTAGTTAATCGTTATCAAAACTCTAACCGGCAATGCTGTTCGCGTACGCCTCAAAACCCTAAAAGATGTCGCAGCAGATGCGCAATGACCGCCTAGTTCAGATCCAAGCTTTACGAATGACGGAATATATAGAGATAAGTTTATTCAAGTGGAACAATCATTCAGTAGATTGTAAAACAACGCGGTACACCAAGATAGTCTATGTGGTTGGAGTGCACTGCGCCTTTAAATGCATCAGCCGGCGCATCGCCGTCGATCACGGGCGGCAGGTAAGCAAAATACGGGTGCTGGGGTGCGCTCGCTTTGCCGGGCGTGCTCATGTTCTCGACCGACGATAGCTCTACAACGTCTTTCCTTCCTTTCGCTACAGCGGCAGCACATGCGCGGCGATACTCATAGTCGACGTTAATCCCATCTGCCATCGACCGCTTTCCAGAGGAGGAGCTGGAAAACAGTCCCTTGCCTGACTTACTCGACGACCCGTTTTGGGAACTCTTACTCGGCTTTGCGAATCCGAACTGCAGACTTGTTTCGCAAAACACGCACGTGCATTCGTTATATCCCAGATCGTCGTTTGGAAACTGTTTTTTCCATCGCTTGTTGCCGCGAACTTCCGCATCCTGGTTCATGACTTTCCCACCGCTGTCGTCGTGGTCGATGTGGGTTCCCACAAGCACGAAGCAAACGGCCATGTACTTTGCGGGAGATAGCTGTAATGTATGCCATGCCAGGTCGACGTCGTTCGGCGGCGCCAAGGGCTTGTCCTTCTCTTGCTGTAAAAGACAGAAGAACCGCAAAAGCCGCTCAACGCTTCGATTAACGACAATCGGACGATATGGCGAAGAGACGTATCCGTATGCCTCCATCATGTCGACAAAACCAGACTGATTAGCCAGTGCTTCTTCAAGTTCAAGATCAAACTGACTGGTGTTATAGAAATAGTGGAACAGAGTTTTGCGGATTGCGATCAGACTGCTTTTGTCAATCACATATGGCTGCTTCTTCCTTGACTGTTTCCGCATCTTTTGTGCATCGTCACGGATGGTGGATTTGATATCAAGCATTCCACTAACGAGACCCTGTGGTTTCAGTCTATCCGCAGTAAATGAGTTGGCAAGAAATCCATTGACAAAGTCAGGAGGAGCCAGTGCCGTGCCTCCTAGATAATCAAGCAGTGTTCCTCTTCAAGAAGATGATTTAGTTAGACCGGCGTAGCAACAATATATACAGCAGCATGCAAATACCTCATAGGGAAACCATCAGTCTGACAGCGCTCAAAGTCATCCAAAAACAGCATAGCGCCCACATTAATTCTATCGATAAGTGACCCGCAAGCAGGACAATATGCCGTGAAATCATCCTCGGCAAAGCCATGGTGAAAAGCTGCGTAGAATGGGACCGAAACATCCGGCTTTCGACAGCTAGGACACATAATTGGTTTCTCTAGGTGCTTCTCGTCGTCGTTCTTGAAGGCCGTTCGTGTAAGAAGTTCAAAAGTCCGGATCGATTCTTCGGACGGTTCGTAGATATAGGGCTTTTTCGGATCTCCAGTGACTTTTATGACCGCATCCTAGGATTTAGAGATCCTGTTAGTACAATTCCAAATGCAACAACCAGCAAGATCAATACGTACGATTGCTTCCCAAGGAACCCCAGTATTCTGAAACAGACCCTGCTTACCACACCGAACACAGTCCTCCCAGTAAAACCTTGGATGCAGCATATGAACCATCCAGACCATCAAGACATCGATCGGTGGCAAATTCCCTTCCCCAACTGCACAAACAGTACCCTCCAAGTATAGCTCAGGCCTTGCTTGCGATTCGGATTTAGGAAACGAATTGAACCAGCGAGTGTACCGCTCGACCGCTCGAGAGACGTACACGCTCCACCTGATATCAGGCGGTTTTGCTAGGTCTACCCTGCCGCGGGACTCCTCCGCCCGATCAAACATCTTTGACATATCGGCATTGACAAACGAGTTGTAGATGCCAAAAAGTCCATCTTTCGCCTTGACGTTGTCGCGGAGCCGTCTCCAGATTGCAAGTAACTTGAGATGCGTAGTGATCTCAAGCTCACTGGGTAACAGCTCGTCGAAGAGCAGGTCAAAACCCGGCAACTTCTTCAGCTCTTGATAAGCGGCACTCTTCGGCGGCGGTGGAAGTTTCAGCTTTTTGAGGGATTGTCGTGCCGTCGAGGCAATTTCGTCTCGGGTTAATCGGCTCGCGGGCATTTTGGAAAAGACAGCCTTGAGGACTGAGTCCGTGAATTCGTCGGCTGGCGGCATGCTGTCGTATTTCTCAGATCATTAATGAGCTCACTGTAGATCAGCAAGCGCAATAGCCAAAAAGAAAATGTAAGGTGGTAGAAAAGAATATATAAAGCGGTAGAACAGGAAGTAGAGAGCGAGCGATAGCAGCTGTACGTCAATTAACGAACGCTCTCCACCGCGCCGTGGCTGTGCGGGTATCATCGACTCCTACTTTAGTAAGCGGCACGATAACGTGCCAGTGTTGCTAACACGGTGCCGGAACCACGAAAAGTCTAAATTATCAGCTCGGGATATCGCCCACAGTCAATATCCACCGATTCAGCTGCCATATTACCGATCACCGATAAAAGAGAGATCTGAACAGTAGAGCGACATGGTAAAAAAAGCTATAAGACTCTATGGGTGTTCAATTGGACCAGATCCGGAGTATCAAACAGAGATCGAGAGCGAACAGCTGTGGAGATCTCGTGCTCTCAGCAGGGTTATCTATGCCAATCACTGATCTACCACCTCTGATAGCTCATCAGACGTTGAATGTAAGTCTACTACTACTTACAACCGACTGAGGCCTCATACAGCTCACGATCTTCTTTTACTGTAGCAGAAAGGCAGAGAACGGAGAACAACCTGAATCAGCTTATCTCTGCAATTGCCGTGCACACACCACGGCAGGCCTATCTGGTTAGGGCATGATCCGAAATCGACACCTCCAACTCTCTCAGTGCGCAAAGACGTGGACCGCCCTCAGTCCCCATCGCTTGTCCACCAGCAATTGCGTCTGTCCTCGATCGCACGAGACATTCCGAGAATTCAACAGCACAGCTTTGCATAACATGTCATCAGAAGAGCCATTCTTCACTCCCGGCCGGAATTCGTGGGCAACCGGCGGCTCCGCGACGCGCACGAAAACCGAATGCTATCCAGTCCTCCAGCCTCTCTTCCTCGGAACCTCTTCCTCGCTGGCCAAGCCTTCCTCGCCATCGTCCGAACGAGTCTTGTTGGAAGTTGCCGCCGGATTTGGTGAGCATGTCGCGTACTTTGCCGAGAATACACCGACCGTCAAGTTCCAGCCTACAGAGGCACAAAACGAATGCGTCGCGGGAATTGCGGATCATGCTGCGACTGCGGTTCATAAGAACATTCTTCCTCCTCAGCATCTGAATGTACTGGCTCCAGCGCAGTGGGACGCCGTCTTGAAAGCGTCCGGACCGTTTGACGGTATCTACATGTTCAACATGCTTCATATCTCACCATGGGAGAGCACCGTCTTTTTGTTTGAGCAGGCACAGAAAGTTCTCAAGAAATCCGATACACCCGGTACTGCCTTCCTTGCCGTTTACGGCACTTTTAAGAGAAATGGCGAGTTCTCTGGAGAAGGTGACCGACTATTCGATCTTGACCTGAAAAGACGAGATGAACGGTGGGGAATCAGAGATCTCGAGAGCCAAATATTCCCAGAGGCCGAAAAGAACGGGTTCAAGTTGAAAGAACGACATGAGATGAACTACAACAATCTTTTACTCGTCTGGACTCTGTGAGGAATGTTTTATTGTAGGCTGATAGTGTGATGACAAATTATACATTACTGATTTGTACTTACAAGAACAAATAATAACCCAAGCCAGAAAGGAGGAAGCAAAAGCCGAACGAAGCACCAAGAACAAAAAAAAGCCAATTTTATGTATCCAAGACCGAACAAAACAAAGTAAATAGAAAGATAAATGGAAACAGAAGAAAAATAAAAGTGTTACTGAATAACACACCGTATTTCCTTCTGCTCGCCCAAATGAAACTGCTCTTGGACAATCTCCTTTTGAGCAGCAGCCAGCTTCAGCTTAACTTCTTTGGGAAAGTAAAGCTTCATCTGGTTTTGCAGAGCGTAGTCGACATTATACCCATCAGCTTCCAACACGACGTGCTGTCGACAGATGGGACATTCGTCCTTGACTTGTCTCTGCAGCTTGATGAGGCAGCGGATGCAAAACACATGGCCACAGTTTAATCGGATAGGACGATAAGCAATCAGATAACAAACTGGACAGACGTAGTCGTCCAGCTGGGGAATGACGCTCATAAGAGTCTCGGCCATGGTGAAACAGACCGATCGCGCAATCGAAGTGCTTTCGCCGGTCGACGTCTGATTGAAATAAAAGCTTGGGAACACGTCGCGTGTAGTCAACGCAGTCTGCTTATCAAACTTCTTCAGAATCTTGGTCGTGGCAGTCTGGTTCAGGTTCTGGAATTGAAGGGATTGCAGAATCGAGATGTTGAGTTTCCAGAACCCTTCGAAAATCTCCTTGCTCTCCTTCATCTTGAATCGTTTCTCAAGATTCATCGCCTTGACCTGGTTCGTAAACCAAAGCAGCTGCTCCTTTGCCCTATCAACGCTGCGGTCACCATGATCCTGTTCCAGACTTGAAAAGAAAACTCCAGCGTCCAGGTAAAGCCGGAATATCTCCCGCCAAACGTAGAGATCATTTTTCTTATTCAGCGGAGACGCAACGTGCGGCAGCTTCCGAGCTAGATCGTGCACTTGCTCCGTCATGTTCTTTGTCTGCTCCTGCTGAAGACTGTCCAGCGCCGCGAGCTCGGAGGTGAGCATGTGGAAGAACTCCGAGTCAGAGTGTAAATGTATTTCGATCTTTTCGGGGAACGTTCCTATTGACGCTGCCGAAATCTCGCTGCCTGTGGCGGTAGAAGAAGGTGTGAGATCTGGAGTCGAGGCGGAAACTGGAGCCACCAGTCTGTCAGTGTCGCTGGGCGACAGACTAGGAGACCGATCAGGGGAGATGATTGAATGAAAGTCCCGGGAACACCTGTGCTCGGATGAAAAGGATGTGCGGGTGGAAGCGACACCCTCAATCGCCGTCAAAGAGTCGTTATCGATAACAGGCGTGAGGCAGTCGCTTGAAAGATTAGGAAGGACGTCAGAGTCCTCAGATATGTAGATGTTGTCCTCAGAGCTCCCGTCAGACTCGTCTGAAGTCACAGATCGGGCGTCGACGTTCGAGGCAGCCTTTTGCCGCGCACGCTGAACAAGCCGCTCGAGACGGGCCCTGGTATCAGGCGAGATGTGCGCATCGAGCGGTAAGCCCGACTCGCGATTGAGCAGGATGGTGATCTTTGGCACGAACTCGGTCGCGGTGCCCTCGAACGAGTAGACGAGCTTCGGTTTGGCCGCGCCCGAGGCATCGCGCTGGGCTTTCTCGTACGCAAGCAGCAGCTGAAGCGTGTCCTTCTCGAGACCGAGATCCTCGAGCTCGGTGACGACTTTGTTGATGCACTTTTTCAGCGCCTTGTACTGGATAGCGGCGGCCACCCACTCCTGCGGCAGGTCCTCTTCGTCGAGGAGCTGCTGGAAGACCTTTGCGAACTTCATGGGAATTAGGTTGCAGGACAGACAATGGACAGGACGACAGCCAGTGCTCTCTCAGCACCGGCGACAGTTCATTTAAAGCAATTCGGTTCCGGTGTCGAATCCCCGCCAACTGAGCGAACCTCGACCAGCGCGACCGCCACTAGTTGGCCACACGTGCAGTGCCCACTGCTTCCTGACATAATCCTGCGGTCTAGGGTTGTGACTAATGCAGACCGTTCGGGTTACTAAGCACTTCTCCCAACGCAAACTAGAACAATCGTGAATGAATAACTACTTCCGCAGATGCTACAGACAGTCCACACGGTATGAACAACGGTGCTTTCTCGAGGCTACCGGTCGAGGTGCTGGCTCGAATATCCTTCTATCTCAGCGACCACGACCTTGTCCGGCTCTCAGAAGTAGACAGGCGCCTGCACGTCGTCGCTAAACACCCGTCTTGCTGGCGATGGCGATGTCAGAAATGGATTTCCTGGAGCGAACCAAAGATGCTCCTGCGCTCCCGCAGCAGACTGCTCGACCAGGAGTATTCGGACCTTGACTGGCGAGAGGTTTATATTCAGAAAACAGCTATTGACCGAAAGGTGCGCTTGCTGGCCGAGCGATACTCTGGATACTCTTCCTACTCCGATAGCTTCGACAGCATCACCTCACTCGGCCTCGACGCGCTCGACGCACTCTCCGCTATAATCAAAGACAACTCGACCTACAATCTCGGCGCAAAGTTCATCGCCAGCCAGGCGCGGGGTTTCATCCGGCGTCGCCACGCCGTCCAACTATTTCTCGCCATTGCAAATTCGAAACCCAGCGCGCGCGCCATCGATCAAGAAATCGTCTTTTCGGCCCCGGCGTATTTCCATGAGAGCGATTACTGCGAGCAGTTGATTTTTATGCATGATGCGGCAGATCGCGCGGCGCGGAGGCTTGGATACTCGAATTATGACGCATATACAGCTGCGCATTGCATTCTGGATCTCCTTGTTGCCGAAGGACTCATACCCCCATACGGTAAGTATACGTCGACGAGCAGAAAGAGCACTACAGTCGTACTGACAGATTCTCCAGAGCAAACCGAGAACCCTCTAATCCTGTCAGTCTTCTCTCTCTCCAACTCCACCCATCATTTCTGGTCGCCGGCCGGAATATATGCTGGCATCGCCCGCCGCGTCGGACTCGAATGCAAAATCATCAGCCTACAAACTCTCATGCTCTACCTACCGTCAGATCCCAACAAGCGAGTATATGTATCCACAGTCTTGAAACGAGTATTCCGCGAACAAGAACTCTCGACCTCTCCCACATGCACAAATTACGATGTCGCCGAAATGTCAAATCTGGAAATCCTCAAAAATATGTCCTCTGTTCTCAGCTTGTTTGTTCAATCCAGCTCTTATATGGGAAACATCGCCGTGGCCAACGTTGCTCCCCGACCAGTCACTGCTCTGGACACGCCAGACGAAATGCTCGATTACGCTCTAACAAGCACAGTCAACCCCCTACGCACCCTGCAGCTCTTGATCGACGAACAATGGATTCTCGGCGACCTAATGTCAATCCGTCGCCGCGGCTGCCGCAACGAACTCGAGATGTTCATGTCTAGAGAATTTCACGACGCGTTCGCAGTAGCTTATGGCGCTCATATGGCCGACCGCTTCGTCGGCCGCGTGAGGAAGGTCGCGGGCCTAGTTGAGAAGTGCGTCGAATCTGAAGAAATGGGATATGCAGTCGACAACGATACCCGGGAAGACACCAACAGCAGCTGCCCCGGAAATTTCTCAATCGGCGATCTGGTAATCTACAGCCGCTACGGCCGCGGCGGCGTCGTCGTCGCAGGAGCATCCAGACCAAACTCAACTACCACTCAAAAGTTCTACTTGGTAGTCCTGGCCACCGATGCTCAGCGCGCCTGCGTCTCGCAGAGAAGTCTGCGGAAACCAAAGACGGTGTTTGAAAAGGAGGCAGTTGTTAAAGCGTTGAATTTGCCTGCGGTGCAGGCAGAACTGGGGCGTTACTTTAAACGATTCGAGTGGGATACAAATACGTTCTTGGAGTACAAGTCGTTGGTTTAATAATTTCTTGGTAGGAAAAAGGCGTTTGGTGCTGGGGTTGCTTATATTTGGGGATTTGAGAGGAACTTGTGAAGTAATTAATAATGGCATTAGCCGAAAATGTCCGCAAAAACTATTCTTAACTTTACACACATCCCCAAGCTAAATGTTTATGAAGACTGCCATCCTTCACCGCATTCATCAGTCTTTAGACCACCATCCTGCGCTGTGGTTTCTTCAACGTTGGGCGCAGCGACTGATGAAGACGATAACATCGTCATGCTTCCGTCACAATCCGATTCTAGTACCTGAACGCCCGTCATATCCTCCTCTTCGTCGTCGTCATCACCCTCGTTGTCTGAGGATGAAGCCGAAAATCTGTCACCAGTGCCGTCTACCTGCTCGTCCTCCTCGCGACAGACGTCGACATAGTCGTCTGGGATCGAATTGTCCGGCAGACTGCCACTACTATCTTCCGATATCACGCTTCCGCCGGCTGATATGTCCGCTTCTGCACTAGAGTGACTTACCGCCGCCGCAGCCTGCGGTTGTTCCTGTTGCTTTGACTGTCCGAAATGTGGCTCCGCCTTTGAGATGTGAATGAATTTGCGACCGGGGAACTCCCTGATCCGACAGACCCAGTCATCCCAATCACTGCGCGATTTGATGAGAAACCCGATGAGCATACTGGGATCCATGGTGTCGATCTTGATGTTGCGAACTCGGCTTGTGTGAACTGATGCGAGGTCTTCGTCTGTGTATTCTGATATGTCTTGTTTGTATTTGAGCACCTTGCGCGGGTAGTGTGGGTCGAGGTAGAAGAAATTAGATCCCTGATATGCAAAGAAATAGTGCGATGCCGAGGGTCTTCCTCCGGCGATCCCTACTGACTCAGGTAGTGAAAGCGAGAACTATAGAGAAATCAGTAAGCACGTTTAGATCAACGGCCAGAGATGATAGGGAATTACCTTGAGTGCGTCATGGTACACCGGCGTGATCTTTTCAATCCCAAGACGGATCCCGACGAGCAACAGAGTCGGATGAAAAACGCCGTCCTCATCAGTCGCCACTTTCAAGAAACTGTCCTCGTAGACATCACCAGCATCACCGCTTATATAAACTCGCAACCCACAGTCGGCAAAACTCGAGCACAGAATGCTCATGCACCGCGCAGCCGCACTTGGACCGAACCATTCTCCGGGAAGCTTCTTACACGCGACCTGTCCGTAGTAAACAAAATTGTGGATCGAGAACGGCGCCTGTGGATCGTCAGCAAACCAGGCCAGTAGTTTAGATCCATGATGTAGTCGCGCGAGCGAGTTTGCAAGCATCGTCTGTCCTGATCTGACCATGCAGCCCCAGCCGATATCACTCGTGAAGCCAGATCGATCGTTTACATGTCCGCGCAGCAACGCAGACACCGACACCGGCGCCGGACCGGAGGCTGAGCGTGGGATCAGAGGGAACTCGGTGCGGTAGCTCATGTAGTAGAGTGACTCGATAGTAGACACGAATGCGGATGGCCAGCTAGTCGACCGCTCGATGCGCGTGGCTTCGTCTGCTTTCTCCTCGTCGTTCCTTAGCTGGGCGATGTAGTTTGAGATCCTGTTCTTAGCCAGCTTGAGCGTCTCGACTGCCTGCTGCTGCTGATTCCGCAGCGGCTGTTGTGGCTCGTCGCCCTCGCCCATCACCTGCGCGTCCTCGACGGCCTCCCCGCCATCCTGCTCGAGCCCATCCTCCCTGTCAGCGTCCGGCTCCGCGCTAAACTCCTGCCCGAGGCACACGATCGGCAGATCATGGTCCACGTTGAGTGCCTCCGGATCCAGAAGATAGCCGACCAGGCGTTGTATGTTATTCATCTCCCCATGCACACGGCTCCGGCGGGACTTTGTAGGATACTGATCTGCTCACCGCTTGACGGCGTGGAGGTTAGCCGACCGTGGTGGCGATCAAACCCTAATCCGCAACGTGCCCGTTGTATTGCACGCATTACCTCATCTTTCGTTTTATGGATCGATAATTGATAAGATAAGTGGATAAAAGTGATAGTAATTGGCTATGTGAGGAGAGATATTTGCAAAGAACCCAAGAAATAACGCAAATGAAATGAATGAAATGAATGAACGACTGAACAAGGAAGAAAAGAAGAAAGAAGAAAAGAAGAAAGAAGAAAAGAAGAAAGAATGATACAATAGCCGCAGATGTAACCTGCATAGTTCTTGGATATCAGTCAAATGTAATCCTGAATGAAGCTATGATAGAATAAAAAACAATTTATAAACTGGTTCAAGTAAAATAGAATAAAGAATGAGAAAGAGAAAAGAGAGAAAAATCTGCAGTGTGCAACAACGTCCTATCGTATACCAGTCGTTCACTCGCGAGCTCACGACCATCTCAAGAAAAGTAAAGCAACATAATATATAGTATATGATAAAGCAGAAAGAATAGCAGGTACTTGAAACGCCCTAATGTACTAGTAGTATAATGTCAAACACAAGTTCAAATAATGTATAAGATCAATAAGCGGAAAAAGAAGAAAGTTCGACACCAGCGCAGACAAATGACAAATTACAATTCAAACAGACACCGGCACTAATCGTGTACATGAGACAATAAACAAAACAACACTTTACAAACAAGTGTAGACTTTTGAGTAGCAAACGCGCAATTGAATGACAGATATAAATATAGCATAAATAGACAAGAAAAGATCGAACGATAGGAAAAAGACTATGAGACTCCGTTGCCGAGGCTTACTCCCATATCGATCGACATATTATGACCCATCAACTGTTGCGTTTGTGACTTTTGTTGTGGCTGCTGTTGCTGCATCTGCTGCATTTGCTGCTGCTGCTGAGGTGGAGCAACAGGTGGCTGCAGTGGCGGCTGACTTTGGGGGATGTGACCGACAGGAGGTGGCAAGCCTTGCATGGGCGGAATGCCGATATTAGAGGGCATCATGCCCATAGACCCGTGCCCTACAGGCGACATGGGATGCATGGACCCGGGCCCCAACTGAGATGAGGGGTTTGCGGGTCCGGAACCGTTAGTTTGCCCATTTGATTGATTTCCGTTCGAGTTGTTTGAGCTATTTCCACCATTCGACCGCACCCCGAGCGGATTCTTGGAGAAAGAGAGTCTGATTCCACCCTTGACACTGTTGGAGAGACCACGGCCATAGAGCTCTGTTAGAGCGCGAGTTGCGTAAGCGACATCTTCAAACTCCACAAAGCACATTGGCCCATTCATCTTTGTCCGGAAGCAGAGACGTCTGTAGCCCCGCTGGCGACTGAACAAGGCCTTGAGCTCGTCTTCAGACGTGTTCATCGGCAGATTTCCTACATACAGCGTGTTGCAGGGAGGGTTCTGGTCTGCAGGATTCGCAGGCGGCAGCACACGCCCACCGTTCTGAAGCACGTGCAGCGAAGACGAATTGGGTGGTTGACCGGACGCTTGACCAGTGGGCGGACCTCCGACTGCGGGACCTCCAGCCGGCGCAAGAGCGGAGGAAGGCGTGGCAACTGATGGGGGGTTCGATGGGAACGCACCCTGAGGGGCAGCACCGTTTTGGCCGCCTAGCGACATGGCACCGAATTGTCTGATAGGCACTGCAGTTGATGATGTGCTTCGCCTTGTTCGATCGCCGGGAGGTGCCTGTTGCTGCCAGGGTTGTGACGGTTGCTGTTGCTGTTGTTGTTGCTGCTGCTGCTGTTGTTGTTGCTGTTGCTGCTGCTGTTGTTGTTGTTGCTGCTGCTGCTGCGACTGTTGTAAAGCAGGCTGCTGCAGTTGCGGAGAAGGCTGTGTCTGACCGGGTTGATGATGCTGGTGCTGACTTGATCCCTTCGAAAACCAAGCCACAGGATCCTTGACCATATCCTCGTACTCTTCATCGTCGCGTCCGGCTGACTCCAACAAGACAGACTTGCCACTTATACGCGGCAACTCGCCGGCAGCTGGAGAGAAAGCACCACGGGGCGAGGTCGAAGAACCCGAAAACATAAGATCGGGCTGCTGGTGGAAGAATTCTGCGTCAGTTGTGGGTGGGATGGTCGCCTGAGTAGTAGGAGAGAGCTGCTCGAAGGGAGGGAAATTGAAGCGAGAAGAAGCTTTGCCGGGGGCCGCGGACTGCGGGCCGGAGTGGAGCTGCTGCTGGGAGCTACTGCTGAGAGACATGGCCGGGAAGGTGTTTGAAGGAGCAAAGTGGTTGGGGCCAGTGGGCGAGGCAAATGAGATGCTGTGAGAGGAGACAGGGCCGGGGCCAGCGGAGAGGGAGGAGGAGGAGTGGTGGTGGTGATCGAAAGAGGTCGAGAGAGAGAGGCCGGAGGGGAACTCGCAGGTGAGCGGGCGGGCGACGTAGTTTGGCGAGGAGGAAGAAGAGGAGGCGGAGCCGTTGGCGGGGAAGGATTCGCGGGACTCGAAGAGGTCGAAGCGGTCGTGGAGGGTATCGTGGGCCTCGACGGCGCCGGCGTAGGACTTGAAGTAGGCGACGCCGTAGGTGAGGGGGCCCGAGACGTAGTCGTCGGGGGAGGCAAGCTCGCAGGAGATGAAGTCTTTGGCAAAGGCGAAGATGAGACGGAACTCGCGGCGGGTGATGTCGCGGGGGAGGTTTTTGATGCGGAGAGGGTAGGAAGCGGCGGAGGGGGGTGATGAGGTGAGGGATCCACCGTTGCTGGGGTTTGCGGAGGGGACGGGGGCGGGGTCAGCGGGGGAGAGTGGCTGGAAGGCGGTCATTTCGGGAGAGTAGCGCGGAGTCGATATGATGCCCAGGGGGGGCTGCTGGGTTGCCGGGGATGGCATGTCTGGGGGGATCAGTAAGGGAGAGGAGGGATGGGGGGTGGTGAGGAAGAGGAGAAGAGGGTACGCACGATGGGGCTCAGGATGGGGGGCAAAGCATACACGGGGAGATAGAGGAGAAGGAGGAGATGATGATGAGAGGGAGGAATGGGACAGCAAGAAGAAGAGAGGAGCGGGAAGGGGAAGGAAGTGGTGGAGAAGAGGAAGCGGTGAGTGATGAAAGGAGGAAGAAAGCGGGTGGCGGCGCGGCGGGCGATGAGATGTGAGCGTGAATGAGGCGGCGATGGAACTGGCTCAGGGTCAGGGTAATGAGCATAGGGTTAGGACAGCAAAGGCGCCACGAACCGAGATCCTGCGGGCAGAAGAGCTGATATTGTAGATGGAATGGATATATTGTAGATATAATGTGGATATGATGTTGTTAAGATGTAATTGTAGTGTAATAGTACACTTATAGTCAATGCAATTGTAGGCATTCAATTGCTCCACAAACACTACACATCCTAATCCTCCTACCAAAGCAAAGGCCATACAGTAAAAGCAAATCAAAACAACAGCAACAACACAACAACAACAACAATACAATCAACAATTCAATCGTATATCCAACACTCACTCGCTCATCCTCACCAGGTTCGCGATGTTCCCGCTGTTCCCTGTTCCCTGGCCCTGTTCCCTCCTCCTCTCCTCTCCTCTCCTCCTCCTCTCCTCTCTGAGCCAATCGGCCGAGCCTCGCCACTGCCAAACCTGTCCGCTTCCGCGCTAGTCCATTTCCGGAAACAAGGGGCTCGTGTCATTCCTTGCACAAAACCCGCAACGTGGGAACCCGCCCAAAGCAACGTCCGCCATAGGCTTAGGGCTTCTGGGTTAGGTTTAGGGCTGTCCGCTTTCGGCACCGCCCCCGCCCCTGCCCTCGCCCGCCTCGTCCCCGGCACGTGCTGCTCGTGCTCTGCCCTGCCCTGCCCTGCCCTGCTCCGCTCTGCTCTGCTCAGTATGCTCAGCTCTGCTCACGCCCGCCAGTACTGCGCAAAGTTGTGCAGCCGGTCAATCACCATCGGGAAGAACGCGCTCACGCTGTCGTTGATCAGCGTCTGGAAGTGCACTATCGCCTCCTCCTCGCTCATATCTAAACAGAACTTCTCCTTCACCTTCAGCACCGCCTTGTCCGGCTCGATCTTGATATCCGGGATATTCGCGTCCACCATCAGCGCAAACAGATTCAGAATCAGGTTCGCAGACTTCCGCAGCGTAGTGTAGGCCGTAAAGCAGTAGTTCCGGAACTTCTGGTAGTGCTCCGACGTCTCTCCCCCCATCCCTTCCACAATCTGAATCGGCAGCTTCATCAGCGGCGCAAACGGCTTCGGGTCTCGTCCTAGGATATACCCAAAGTCGGCATGGAAAAAGTGCCCGTCCGGGCAAATCAGCAGATTGTCCAAATGTCGGTCTCCCACTCCAAGCAAATACGTAATAACACAGTATCCCGCACAACTCTTCACAAACGTGTCCATCGCCTCCGCCTTCACCCCCAGCGGCGCGTTCGCATCCGGATTGTGCTCCTTCAAAAATGCCAATATCGAATGATACTCCCCCAGCGCTGCCGCCAACGACGTGCTCGGAATAAACTGCATCGATCCGTCCATCGGTCCCGTCGCCAGAATCTTGTATGGCGTCAGCTTCAAATCAAGATTCTCCTTCCGCAGCAGCTTGTCCATCAAACTGATAATCTGCATCACCAACTGGTCCTGCCGCAAATCGTCTCCATTCTTAAACACAATCTGATATGTCCCTCCTTCTTCCGTCTTGAACGATATCCGCAGCGGCAGCAGACTGCTCTTAAACACACTCGACTCCTCCGGCACCACCCCAACAACATTAACCGTAGCTTCCAGCGGTAACGGCAGTGGATCAAAATTCAGCAACTCCTGCTTTGGATCTGACAAAAACTTCCGCAGACTATCAATCTTCTTTGGCCGCGACTCCTTCGAAAACCGAATCTCTCTCGCCAACCTCGCGAATGTCACAATAAACTTCATCTGCCTCTCCAACGTCCTCAACCGCGCCGACCCATCCGGCATCCCCGCAAGCGTGCTTCGGAAATCACTCAAAACTGACTTGTAAAGCCTCCGACTAGTACCTCTTTCGTCCTCCGCTTCCACCGTCACAAACCAGTAGAACGAGTTACCCAAAATCTCACTCTTCGCCGCTCGTCCTTCCAAAAACCGCGCCAGACTCGATTTCTTGCCGTACCCATTCCCGACCTTGTCAAACTTCAAAGCCTGAACAAGTTGAAGTAGATACAGCTGTAGCTCATCATCGTCCGCTTTCCGTAATCGGTCAACTGCATACGATCGTACCGCTGGATTCTTAAACGACGGTCCCAAAAGCTCCAACGCGTCGTCGACATCAATCTCAATCCACTTCGTCAACAGCTCTGTGCCTTGTCGCGCTTCTCGAGCATCATCCCACGCAATCGATTTCACAAATTTCGTCAAAGCCTGTATATCAACCATTTAGCAACCTCTCTTCGTTATTAATAACTCATCTCTCTACATACCCGCTTGTCACGCGTAAGATAGTATCGGAACCTCCAGATCAAATTCTTGTTTTCCGCTGTAAGCTCTTGTACTGGCGGATAATTCAGAATTTCCTGCAAAATAAAGAAAGTATTAGCACTGTCAACTCCTTCACCAATTCCCTCCCTCTACTTACATTCAGCTCGTCTCTTGTTCTCGGATTCGGCTTCAGCTCCTTATCCAGCATATTCCGGTGACTTCGCAGTAGCTTTCGGTGCTTTGTCTCCTCCACATTCTCCCGCGACGCATCCGGATCGTAAACCGTCACAACCGCATATTGCTCCGAAATCAGCTCTTCTGACTGCACATTCTCCGCAATCTCGTCCGTCGCTATATATGTATAATCCGCAAACAGAACCGGGAAATCAAACTTTGGAAACTCGACAACAAGCGAATGCTCAGACATCAAAGCCTTCGCCCGCTCCTTTTGATTCTCAATCTCTAGCTGTCGAAACGCAAGCGTATCATACCACGCAACCCTGGTCGTCTCGTTAAATTCATTCCTCTTCAGTCTACTCTCAAGACTGTCCTGCTGTCCTGCAACACTGTTCGGCGTCGTCGTGTTTGACATCCCATCTGCCTCTCGATCTAGCCATAGATACAAACTATGCCGTCCGCGTTTCAAAGTGTAGTCCTTATCCTCAAAAAGCTGCACCGTAGTTCCGCCATATGGAATCAACTGTCGCGATCCTGCAATATCCCACACTGTTATAGCCAGTTGAGCAGTCACTGGCAGCTGAGCATACGAAATCGGTAGTTCCAGCCATTCATTCCATCTACAGTATCACACGACCAGTTAGAAATCGTCACTTAAAACCATCATCAAACTCTCCGCAAAGCGTCATTACCTCCTTCCAGTCTTTGGATTCTTGACTGTCGTACGGACAGGTGCTGTAAGGGGCTTGCAGTTCGCAAATAGCTGTACAGTCACAAATAGGTCGGATATTGGGCTATCATTGTTTCCCGTCAGTAAGCAATCATTCACCATCATGAGATCTACCGCAGCAGTAAATAATCACCTTGTATTAGACCCAATCTGTCTAATTCTTGATTCTTCGAGAGTCTTCGTAAGAGCAACCGGTGGCTTTATTCCTTCCAATCCATCACTAGCAATCAACGTTAGTCCTATCGTCACTCTAAACGAACATCTCAGCACTTGAACATACATCTTCACGTGAACCGGAAGATTGATATCCTTCGACAGACAAAACGTGTACGTCTTATCTTCCATAATTATACAGACTGTGCGATCATATAGCAAGGGTCGCGTGTCAAAGTACAGCTTGAGCTGTAGTATCTAAAATGAAATGAGAGGGATTGCAGCTCCTCTGATAGTGGCAAGCCTGTAAGTCACCCTGATATTCAAAGCACCAATCCGTTACTTCTTCTATTATTCCTCTCTGATGATGACTGCAGTCCGGATAGCTGAAGTGCGCTCTTGCCCGGTCTCGAAATCGACGTTGATTTCAATTCGCGTTCTGATGGGAATCCTGATAATGAGTAGGCTTAGTTTGGGAGAGAGCCAGCATTATGTCATCATGACGAAAGCTACCACGTGACGCGATCTCCCATGTAAACAAATATCACTGTAGAGTTCTGACCACAAATCCTCTTCCACCCCACGCAAATTCAGCAGGGATTCTATTGCAGTATTCTCTTGTGAAGGAGACCGCTTGCTCGCCTTTGTGCTTTACTTTTATACTGAGACGAGAAAACCTCTTATTTAGAGGAACTTTTGGCTGCGAATCCACCTACACCACCATGAACTTCTTGAAAAAGGTGCTAGGAAGTAGCCCCAAGCCGGAGATCGCAATGATCCCCAGCGGTCGGCTATACCTTGCCAGATCGCAAATCTCTGTCAAAGGCTACTCGGAGTGCATGTATGTATTATTTTGAATACATTGTAGAGGAAACACGTCTTTCTAACAACACTGGGCAATCTAGATTCAAAGATGCCGTCGCTGTGATCCGCCGCACGACTACGGAATACCACTACCAGCTGGTAATTCAGCGGGCTTTCGAAGAAGGCGAGGAGCAGCTCGAAGATGATGAGGAAGATGAGGCTTTTGACGAGTATACCTTCTTGATGGACGAGGCTCTGGCTTTTCGCAAGTTCACTAGCGAGGAAGGTAGCGTGATATTTGCATGGAAGGAACTATCTGGAGTGAGTCTTTTGATGATCTTTTTGTATTTCTGCGGATGACATAGATAACTAACGGACCTAGGATCCTGGTGACATTTTCGAATTTGTCTGCGACGAGAGTACAGACTCTGGGGCTATCAACAGTTTTTTCAACGTCGCGTTGCAGTGTCAGTACGAGCGAAAATACGGAAAGCCTTCCAGCTCCGCGACCGATGCTGATCTGGAGCAATTCATATTCACGTAAGAATCTCTATATCGATACAGTACAACTCGGCCTGTTTTCAGCCTTTATTCACAGTATTAACTCTTTCCAGTGGAGCAACTCAATCTCCACCATCACCCCAGGTAGTCTCGCGCCGATCATCTGCTGGCGGCGTCCCTGCTACGCCTGAAAAGAAACGTGAGGCGCCAGCTGCTGTCAAAACAGAGCCTCCAGCCACTCCTGGTGCACCCACTCATTCCATGCCTGCCGAGCTCGCTGTGAAGAGCATCTTTGGATCTGAAAAGGCCGAGCTGCATATATTCGATGCCACTAGCGGAGTGTTTATGATTCAGGCAGATGAAGTCACTGCTACCGTTAAAGATCTTGGTAGCTGGAAGTGTAAGTTCTCCCATTTTGATAATTACCAAGCGGCTTTCGCTAATAGCCGTCTCTGATATAGATTGGCTCGATATCGAGGACGCCAGTAAAGGATGGCTAGGGTTTGTGATCTCTCCTGATATCAATCCGGTATTCAACTACGAACAGCTTTGCTTCATTTTCAACTACTATTCCAACGATGGCACTGCCTCGTCCTGGCTGCTGCACTTTGCCAACGCAGACGCTCTCGAGCACTTTCAAGAGATTCTCATGCGAGCCCTGTGGGAAACGCTGAATCAGCAAAGCTGGATAAAAGCCACAGAAGATGAGCGGGACTACGTCCTGGACGCTTTCAACAACATGGCACTGGATGATACGATTATGGAAGACCAGGAAGATGAAGATGAGGAGGATGAGGATGAATTCACAGATGCTGGAGAGCAGATCAGAAATGAACCGGAGCGCTACGACGCTGACGAAGAATATGACGATGAGCTGGGAAATCAAAACTTCAAGGGCGAAGGCAAAAACAGCCAGCTTGCAGTTGGATACAAGCACGATCGGACGTTTGTCGTACGAGGCAATAAGCTGGGAGTGTTCAAGAATACCGCCAACAATCTGGAGTTCTCTACAACGATTGATAACCTAAAGACTCCGAACGGCAAAGTATTCTCACCCTCAAAGGTTATGCTCCACAAGGAAGACTCGACCATGATTCTACAAAATCCAAATGATAAGCACAGTCTTTTTAGCATGGATCTTGAGTATGGAAAGATTGTCGATGAGTGGAAGATTCATGAAGATGTGCCGATTACATCCTTTACGCCTTCAAAGAAATACTCACAGATGACCTCGGAGCCTACGTTTGTTGGAATATCTGACAATAGCTTGTTCCGAGTGGATCCTCGTCTGGCTGGCCAAAAGTTGGTTGACTCTGAAAATCAGACCTATGCCACCAAGAGCGCGTTCACGTCTATTGCCACCACTGAGAATGGCTATCTTGCAATCGCCTCCGCGAAGGGTGATATCAGACTTTATGACAGACTAGGAATCCGCGCAAAGACGCAGATTCCTGCGCTTGGAGAGCCAATAATTGGTCTCGACACGTCTGCTGATGGACACTGGATCTTAGCGACATGCAAGACCTATCTGCTACTCATAGACACCACTATCAAGGATGGCAAGTACGCCGGACAGCTCGGATTCCAGCGCAGTTTTGGTAAAGATAATAAGCCGCGGCCGAAGTGTCTGCAGCTGAGTCCTGAGCATGTCGCGCAGATGCAGGCGGAAACAAAGCAGCCGCTGTCGTTCACGCAAGGACATTTTAACACTGGTCTGAATGCAAAGGAGACTACTATTGTCTCGAGTTCAGGTCCTTATGTTATCACTTGGAATCTACGACAGGTTCTCAGGGGCGACAAGTCATCTTACACCATCAAGCGGTACAGCGACAGAGTCACAGCGGATAACTTCAAATTTGGTAGTGACAAGAACGTTATTGTGGCGCTTCCTGATGATGTTGGAATGGTGAGCAAGAAGACTTTCCGGAAGCCAACTAGAGAGTCGATTGCCACACCTGTTAGGATATACGGCGAGTGAGCAATGTGCCAAAATGACTATTGATGTATATTTTGGGCCGATACGCTTCTATTGTTGTTATTCTTCGTTATAATCACACATCTAATTTCTTTATATGCTGCTTCGCAAGAATCGGGTACAATTTATCTGATCTACTGCAATAGCATCTTTTTATGGTATATACATATTTAATTAATTTCTCATAACTAATGACGATTACTTTTCTGCTCTCTATCCCTTCAGGGGATAGCCCTCGTTCTACCTAAGCCATCCTTTGCATAATAATTCATGCGATAACCTTCACCCTCTCCATTTATGGTGTCGACGAGGCTACTCCATAATTTCTCATCGCCAAAAGCAATTGAAGCCTCATAGGGAGTCAGCAGAGGTTTCGCAAAGGCATAACCCCAGTCGATGGACAAGCGAGGACATGCGACCTGGACAAAGGCATCAATGTGCTCAAACTCTGCCAGTTTTTGCGGAAATATCTCGGAAAGCAAGATGAGTGTATATTCGACATTTCGGTCCAGCAAGTCTCGCTTGATCTTTTCAAACGTATTGTAGTTGCCTTGGCGTCCGAGAGTACCAAGTACGATGGCTACTCTTTTTGCCCCTCGAGCCACAGAAATGGCGTCTTGCCGAACGTTCAGCATTTCTTCGTGCTCGTATTTTTCTTTCGTGAACTTTCTGGAGTACGGATCATATCTGTACGCCGCGAGTCCAGGATTCTGGATCATCGCAGCTTCCAAATGAAACCGGCCATCACCCACATACACTATCGCATTGACCGATTTCCCATCTATCCGTGGAGCTGTGCAGCCCAAAAGCTCACCCCTCGAGAGTGGCGAGATCTGGGGAACTTCGATATAAATACTTGTGTCGTTGTCACGCTCCAGAGCGGATCGAGCAGCATGAAGAGCGCCGTTGAACTGAATTGTGCCCACCAGAGCTATCCGCGACTGTGCGGGGAAGTTCTCTTTGAGGGTTGCAATAAGATGACGTTCATCGACAGTTATCGAAACAAAAACGTAGAGAACTCGCATTTGTGTGACATCAACTGGGATAAGGCACGAATGCGCATAATGTATCAGCAGGTCACAGCCTAGAGCACGCGCAGTATAATCATCAATACAGCAAGCACCGTACGTTACATCGCCCATGATAACAACTTCCACATCGCAGAATCGTTCCAAAATGTCAGACACAACGCATGCAAAGATCAAGAGTCCTTCAGGCATCTGCAGCGCCACCCGTTTGTAGTTGTAGCGCTTGATGTTCCAAACGCACTTGTGAATCTCAAAGTCATAGTTCGACGGAAGCAGAGCAATAGCAGCATTTAACTCTTCATTATCCAAAATCTCTTGCGGTATCTGGTTCAGTAGTGGTGCCTTTGGTGTTTTTGGTATGCGCGGAACTGGTTGCAGAGGTTAGTTGAGAAGCAAATATATTTGAGGTCTGACGTTGACAGTGCTCACCAACAGACGACGATCCCCGCTCACCCTGAGCCTTGGATCGTCTGCCCACAAACCGTCTGATGTTCTTCTCTGGCGCCGGACTTTCGTTCACTAACGACGGCATCGTTGTGTAGTTTGCAGAAAATATTCTTTCACGCGCACTATCGATTACAAGGAATAAATTATGAGCCGTGCGGCTCAGGGTGGTGTTGTAGATCGTCGAAGCCTAAACTCCAAGCTCATGCACGACTCGAGCTTCCTGCATCCACTCACTTACTCCGCAGTAGCCTGCCCGCGAAGACCGGGAGCTTAGCTCGAAACGTGCACTCTTTTCTTGTCTTTTGCGAAGTCTTTTTGGTTTTGGATTCCCAGCACGCGGCTCGGGTACAGACTTTGCCCATCCACTTCAGCTGACACCCCCCCTGGTCGAGAGATCATGGCGACAAGAAGAGTGTGGGTTCGGCGGCCACATGGGGTGGCAACAACCATCACGGTTTCGCCTGATGATATTGTCGACGATTTGAAAAGCGCGTTGATCCGAAAGTACTCAATAGCGCTTGGCCGCATACACGACGCCCCAGACCTGATCATCAAAATGGCCGGAAGTTCATCCTCGCATTCGTCGTCTCACGGTCATCGCCGGAAGCGAAACGAGGCAGTACGCAGAGAACTTTCGTTTATCGAATCTGGGCATCAAAATAATCAGGCTCATGGTCACTCTCATTCGCATTCCCACGGTCACTCGCATTCTCACAATCATAATCACAACCAAGCAACCGCGAGTTCGAAAGATGACGACGGGGTGATTCTACCGCCCGATGTTAACGTCTTTGCTGTTCTGGACAAAAATTTTCCAGATGGCATGACTATGCAGGATGCGTTTGTCGTTGATGTCCTTGACTATAATGCGGTCGACGATGCAGCATCAGACGATGACTACGATCACTCCAAGCTGTCCTCTACACCTCCGCATTCCAGCGCTCACTCATCTCCCGCCCCTTCAGAGACCCGATCATCGAGCAGACGCAGCCATCATAGTGACGATGATGTACACAGTCAACGGGCGTCTAGCGTTGAGCCTTTTCTCTCTCACAACTCCAGCACCAGTACCAGCTCTGTCCACAATCATGCTTTGCGCAAGCAAGTTACAGCCTCTCAAAGTGGCGGGTCCGTGAATGTTAGCGACACGCAAGTCTCTACAACATCATCAGCGATCCAAGTAAGCCATGCTGTCTCTTCCAGGCCACAACCTCAGCCTTTGCAACAGACGACTGAAAGCCACCGTACGCCGTCAAATTCCTCTTTGGACGACGAGTCGAGTACTCGCACGCAATCGCCTCATCCACGCAGTACTCATGGACACTCATTTGCTGGGGCGCATACAAGCACAACTGTGACAAATACCAAAGCTCAGGTACAAACTCTGACTCAGAAAGCGACACTGCAGACTACGCCGACAGAGACAGAAACTACCAATGACCAGCAGGAAGGAGAGCAGATTTTACAAGTGGAGACTGTTGACGTTGAGAAATCAGAGGCGACTATGGTGTCTGATAGTACGGAAGCAGTGGGAAGCAATCCCGCAGGTACTTCGTCGCTAAAGACAAAGAGCGTGAGTGCTTCGCGCCCTGCGAAGGATAAGCAACCCCAGCAATCGTACAACACTTCTTCTTTGTTGGATGGTATAGTGCCTCCAATCAAAGTTCTTATCGTTGAAGACAACATCATCAATCAGAGGATTCTGGAGACTTTTATGCGAAGGCGAAGAATTCGGTCAAACGTCGCCAAAAATGGAAAAGAAGCGGTCGAGAAGTGGCGTGAAGGTGGTTATCATTTAGTACTGATGGATATCCAGCTTCCTGTACTTTCTGGAATTGAGGCAACAAAAGAAATTCGTCGACTTGAAAGACGAAACCGGATAGGTGTCTTTGTCGATCAGGATTCCACAAATATCAAAGATGAAGATGTTCTTCCGCCTCACCGATTCAAAAGCCCAGTTATCATTGTGGCTCTGACTGCGAGCTCACTTGATAGTGACAGAAAAGAAGCTCTTGCCGCTGGATGTAATGATTTCTTAATCAAACCCGTCAATCTGGTCTGGCTGGAACGGAAAATAACAGAGGTATGTGGATATGACCTTCATTGTTTGTGTTTTTTATTAATTGAGAAGTTTCATGCTAACAATATACCAGTGGGGTTGTATGCAAGCGCTCATTGATTTTGAAGGTTGGAGACAATGGAAAGGGACAGACGAAGCTGAAAAAGATTCAAATGGTAACGGCGGTAGCTTTTCGCGACAGCCTAGACGACTGAAGCAAACGGTAGCACGTGCGAAATAGTGATGCGAATCTATCCAAAGCTTTCTTTAAGGCGGATTGTTTAGTCTGTGTTTTAAAGTAGACAATTTTATAACTATGCATTATATTATCTTATTCATTGTACAAAAGAGCTGCGAGAGAGGCAGCAAATTCTAGGGAGAAAGGATGTATCTATATGTAGCCTATCGGCCACTTCATCTTCTATCAGTCTGATTTGATATACGGCTTCAATAAACGGAGTCTCTCAACTGCTTGCTCTAGGTAGTCATCAGTCTTGCAAACGGCAAACCGCAGGTACTTCTCTGCCAAATGTGCGTGCTCTGGAAGATAGAACTCTGTAGGCGGGATCGTGACTAGACCAATCTCTCTGATGAGCCAATAAGTCATTTTGAAATCTCTGGTGCCTCTGGCAAGAATTTCCTCCGGAAAGTCGTAGTCTTCAGGGATCTGCAGTTTCGAGAAGTTGACAAGAACAAAGTAACCTCCATCGGGATCCGTGTACTAATGTAAGAAAAGACTTTTGTAAGCATATAATCGAGGTTAATAGGATCCAATTCTCAATTATTGCCCTTACAGTCAATCCGAGCTCATCCCAGATGCGATTAAAATTCTTCAGCTTTCTTTTGTAGGACTCAACGTGGTCTTCAAAGAATGTATTTTCGGGTTTGATAGCCTCCTGCAATGCAACTGCAGTACCTTCTTGCAGAGGACTGTTGACGCAAAAGCAGATCTGAACCGAAGAAAGTAGTTAATATCTCTATCAAAAAGCCACAACCACATACATGGTCCCACTCACTCTAGTATGCGCAGCAGCAACATATTTGATCAGCTCTGCGTCTCCAATGAGCCAGCCCACTCGCCATCCTGTCGCGCTAAAAGTCTTTCCAGCCGATCCCACCGTAAGAGTAAGCTTCTGGAGTTCCGGAGAAAGGGTCGCTATGCGGGTGAATTCCGAGTAATATAGTCGATCATACTGGAAGAGAAAATAGCATGTTAGAGCTGAAACTCATATTGAGTAAAGATCTGAATCAAACTGCAAGCTTAATTATAGAATACTCACCACTTCATCTGAAAGAACGATGATATTATTATCAACTGCTAACTTCCCAATCCGCTCCAGTTCTTCGCGCGAAAACACCTTTCCAACCGGGTTGTGGGGAGAGTTGATCACGATCATCTTGGTCCGCGGCGATATTTTAGATTCTAGATCATCAAAATCCACAGTCCATTCAGTTGACGACACGGTTCTCGTGTCATCATTTGATGGAGGAACAAGAGGAACATAAACAACTTTTCCGCCTGGGAGCTCGATATTTGAGATGTATTGATCAAAAAAGGGCTCAAAGACGATAACTTCGTCTCCTTCAGAGAGAAAGCCTGTGAACGCCGAAAACATGCCCTCGTTGGCTCCACTCGTAACAACGACTTCTGTATCCCAGTCGATCTTTCGCCCGTACGTTGGCTCATAGGCCGCGGCTAATGCCTTTCTCAATGAGATACGGCCTCGAGTAGGGGAGTACTGGTTGCACGACACATCGTCGAGAGCTGCCTGAGCTGCCTTTATAGCAAAGTCTGGAGGATTGTACGAGAAAAATCCCTGTCCGAGGTTTAGAATAGGGAATGGAAGAGAATTTTGAGCCTCCGCAGCAGCTTCGTTGACAATAGACCACACATCTTTCGCCTGTCCGGCTATCTTCGGCGATGGCTTCGGATACGAGAAGGGCTTCACTCCGTTAGACATTGAGCGGTATATGGAGAGCGAGCCGGAATTAGTGAGACTGAATGACTGTGGTATCGTCAAAAATCTTGTCAATCGAGCGTCAAAGGTTCTTGGAAACAGCTTAGAGATCATAGAACAGTTTACCAATCTCTAATCCGAAGTCGAGAGAGGATTGTTCACTGATGTTCGCTTGGCCTATCGTTCATTTTGCGTCATATCACGTGAAATCTTCAATGATCAATTAGGCGGAAGCTTAACAAAAGTCAGGGAACGATCGCAAAGCGTAATTCTTGTTTCGAGTTTTTAACTTTGCTGAGGGACATCCATCCCTACCTGATCATTGCCTTCCTCCACATCACACTACAGATCCCACAGCTTTTTGCAATCAATCTCAACTATACTATACAGCTTCCAAAACAGGCAAATCAGCAATCTGCCGACTACATCTTCGGGTTGACATATGTCTACGCTAGATTCAGATTCTTCAGATCTTTCTGAATTAGAGGAATCGATCGCCAGCGACGATGCCGGCGAGGCTTCGCCAACTGCAGAGCCATCTGACGATGAGATAGTTTCTGATGCAGAAGGCAAGTGTTGATAACTTCCATGAGTATCGAATATTCGGGCGCAAACCACGGCGAAGACCTGTCGAGTGAAACATCACAATATACATATGCTAATAACAGCGGTATTATAGACGAGCCAGACGAAGCAGACGACGACGATGATGACGATGATGCGGAATATGCTACGCCTCCAGCACCACGTACAAGCTCTCAAGCAAAGCGGACGAGAAACGGGTCATCGAGCAGAAAGCGAAGTAAACTAAACTCTGCTGTACAGTCTGATCCGGAGAGCGAGACAATCGAAGCTACGAGGGACGACGACGAGCTGGAAGATGATCTGGACGATGATGACGATGATGAGCCAGCCGAGTATTCTACAGATATGTCTAGACTGACCGAACGGCAGAGGGCACGGCTCATGGACGATTCAACCGACTTGGAGGCTCTACCAAACGGTATGTACTTATTTTACAACAAGCACAGGTAGTTTAGCTCTAACACCTTATATAGAAGGCACAAAGAAGAAGATATACACGGAAGAAGAACTCATGCTTCGGCGTACAGAGACCGCTAGGAGGCGTAAAAATCTGTCAGAGAAGCGTCGTGAGGAGGAGAAGGTACCAGCTATCAAATCAATTCTGCTCTCTATATGTTCGATTATTTTCTAACATTCACCCTAGATGGACACAATCAACCGTTTGCTTAAGAAACAAGCTCCCAAAAGGAAAGGAAAAGTCAAAAGTACAGTTGGGAGTCCTGGTACTCCGGCAGTGGAGGATGGAGTTCAATTCAATCTGCCAAAAGCCAGCAGCCATGCACCCTCCCCTGACATGTACCGCTGGGTATCAAACATCAATGGGAACCGGCTCGGTATTCCCACTAATATGAAATGAACTGGGAGAATCTCTGATCCATCATAGTGGATGCTACCCACCTCCTGATAGAAAGACCTAAGTGTTGCCTATCTGGTAGCTCTCATATTACATCATGATTCTGATACAGCTGATCGTTGCACATCTGTTTTTAGATTGATGTTGGAACCTGCGCTGTTGTCAGGATAATCGGTAGAAATTGAATTTAACTGGCATAGCAGAAGGAGCTTGATATTCAGGGCATAGGCTGTCAAATGTCATTAGTAAAAGAAAACCCTTTTGAAGATCTAACTGAGTAGTGAACACTGTCAAGATTGATCATTACCATCTGTCAAGGCTCTGATGTAAATGGTGAATGCAATTTTTTTAATTTAATTTTTTTTACATTTTGTATTCTGCTCTACTGGGGCTTGGAATGGAATAGTTTATGCTGGGTTTTCATTCTATAAATATAGCTAGTTATTTTCAATCCTGAATGAAGTGAAGAGTCAGGCTTGGAATGGAATAGTTTATGCTGGGTTTTCATTCTATACAAATAAATAGTTATTTCAATCCTGAATGAAGTGAAGAGTCTGGATAGTCACTACAGAAAATCTGTGTGTATCTTATGTAATATATAATATTGAACAGCATGAGCTTTCTTATAGTTCCTACCTTGGAGATGTTATTTTGTAAATTATGATGATGATGATGATGATAAATCTCTGTTTTAAGTCCGTTGCAACAACTAGGTTATGACAGACTATCTCGCCCTCCTCAACTATATAATAAAACAAGATAGATCCTAAGATCGTGTCACAATAGCAAATAATCAATAACAAATACATCTCCAAGTCAAAATAACACAAAGAAATTTGCAAAATTTACTAAAACATATTTCAAATAAGAGATAAAAATCCAAAAAAAATCAATAATAACTATCCAAGCTATCATCTTCCTTAAAAGGCCTCAGTGTTACCCATCCCACTCCAGGTCACCAAGTCCTACTCTCAAATCCACCAAACGATTGATCCACAACTCATCCCTTTGGCTCTGTGTGAGAGCGATTTTCTGATGATACCAGTGACCAGTGCCGATGTGGGTCTTCTGAAGATATTTGACAAGTGCAGAAAGACCTTTGTCTGTCCACAGAATGCGGCTGAGCGTGCGTTCGGCCATAGGGATTTCTTCAAAGGCGCTATTTCGTTCATCTCTGTGGTGTGGACAAGAAAGAAGCACATGCTGGACTGACTGCAGTGGGATTCCACACCAACACTCTGGAGAAGGACGAGGCTCTCTGCCATGTCTTGCAAAGTAGCTGTTGAAGAAGCCATGTCCAGTTCGGAAGCTCACAATACAGCTAGCAATGCTGCGAGAGATATTCACCAGGGGCTTGTCAATAGAGAGCCGAGGTTTGCCTTCATAAGCACTGAAAACCTCGTGTTGAAACAGGGCATTCCATTCATAAAAACCGCGGTCATCGACTAGCTTATAAAGGAAGCGCAATGAACAGTCATGGTTGACATTGTCTGGCGACGAGGCTGCTTGAGTGGCTAAGCCAAGAGCGCGATTGCTGCCCTCAACTTTGGTAGCAGAACGAAGCCAATAAATGGAGACTTTTGTGTTGGTTTCGGACAGTCTGTTGATGGCTTGATAGATAACAGTAGCTTGCCGTTGATTTGAAGCGCGCCGAGGCTTCTCCAGGCGTTTCAGGACATTAAGGGCATCTGTGAAGAAACTGATAGTTTGGCTTGACAGTCTTCGTTTTGATGTCCAAGCTGTGGCCTTCGCTAAGGCAGTTATCGCCCCAGAATACAGATCCGAATGAAAGCCCAAAAAGCCATGCTCTTCATGCGCTAAACGTCCTCCATATTCGACAGTGAAAGCCCAGCCTACACCCTTATTCTCAGTGTTGTAAAATGATCGAGAGTAGATGTCCCAGCCTTTGCCAATGATTTCCAAAATCTCCTTTTCCGGTAGTGTCTCAAGCTTGTTGGAGATGTCCGGAACGCGCCAGGGTGGGTATTCTCTAACGTTGAACGTCTCAGTTGTCATTTGGCGTTGAAGGAAAAGCTGATTAGTCCATAGCAGATAGTCTAATCGACTCTGGAAGCGTTCCTCTTCTTCAGCCTGGTCCCATCTCGCAAAGGGAGCGACAGGAGACGTGCGAGACTCCTCCGGGTGATTGGGAAGAGCATCACATCTCGGAACCAAAGGATGAGTACTTGGGAGTGTTGCCATTCGAAGAGCATACTTTCGCATTCGTCGTCGGAGTCTAATGGCCGCTGGAGGGATCGCTGCTTCACATTCAAGCGCTGCGATTGGCGAGGACCTGAACGCGCCCAAAATCATCCTGAGTCCCTTGTTTTGCAGCCCTGTGAACTTCTCATTGATTCCCGCTTTCTGATCAGTCCAGTAAAGCTCTGTACCGTAGTCTGCAAGAGAAGTGATGCAGGCGATATAGAGCTGTCGAAGGGATGAGTGCGGGAGACCGCCTGTTGATCTGGCAAACCGGCGAAAAGACATGAGCGAGCGCAATGCCTGCCCCAGCCTCTGTTGATTTGTAAATTATGATGATGATATTCAACAACATATATATAACATAGATCCTCTTGTACCAGTGCACCCCTTGGAGCAGCTCACTTTCATCCACATCTTTCTATAAAATGAATAATTCCACAATCACAAGAAGTTATGTCATATCAATGAAAGCCACTCGAAATATCATTGAGTGGACATTTCTGCAACTTTATTACAAGTGCATGCATCATATCCTGTCGATTCTACAGCGTTATCCAGTCGGCTCAGTGCTTCTTCGCTCTTCATCCCTGTTGCGCATTTCTGGCTGTAGTTGCTCTTGGGCATTGTTTTTGGCCCTCATAGTCTGTTTTAAGTCTGTTGTGACAACTAGTTTATGACAGACTATCTCCCCCTTCTCCACTATATAATAAAACAAAACTGATCCCAAGATGATGTCACAGTAACATGATGATGATGATAGATCTTTTTATTATAGTCTATTTGCAGCAACTAGGTTATGACAGACTGTCTCCAACTTCTTCCGCCAGTTTTTTATCTCCATTTTTCTAATCCAACTTCAATTCTGATAGGATATCCAAGTATGCCTGCCTGAAGCGGAGGACAAGCTATCCAGTAGGTGCTTCAGTTCAACCATTGCCAGAAAGGGAAGGCGTGTAGTAAAGTCCATAGTATTGTTGAAAATAGTGTTCCATTATGCAGCAGGATCAAGGGTTTCCTTGGAGGGAACAGAAACCCTAAGGAAATTACTAGGTGGAACCAGAAGCAACTGGAAACAGCTAGAAGGGACCGGAAGCAACTGGAATCTACCGGAAGGAACTAGAAGGAACTGGAAGGAACTGGAAGCAGCTAGAAGGAGCTGGAAAGATCTGGAAGGAGCTGGAATGATCTGGAAAGATCAGATGACTGATCAGATGATACTTGAAGAACTTTGTATAAACTTTGTATGAACTTATTTTGTCTATATATTGACCAGCTCCCTCCCTTGTTTTGTACATATCATTCAGTCAACAACATATCATATTACATATCAAAGCACACTTAAGGAAGATCATCATCAATGGATAACTCTGACAACTTCAATATGTCTGGAACTTCCACTGGTAAAGACAATTTGCAACAGTCACAACGCCTGTGGATTTGAGTGTTACACTCTCTCAGAAAATGAGTCCAAAGGCCAAGACTGAGGAAAAAGAAATGGAGAAAATTCCCTATCAGAGTGCTGTTGGAAGCCTGAATTATTTGGCTATTGGGACGAGACCGGACATTGCAAATGCAGTGGGAGAAGTCTCAAAATTTGACTCCAACAATGAAAAGCAGTACTGGACAGACAGCGGTCAAGCGAATTTTGTGATATATCAAAGGGACAAAATCTATGGGAATCACTTTCAGAAACATCATGGTGATCTACTTTCCGGCTACTCGGATGCAAATTATGCCACGGATATTGATGGGTGGAAATCAACCTGAAGATATGTCTTTGTTCTTGATATTTCTTTGTTCTTGGAGGTGGAGCAGTGAGTTGGAACTCCAAATGCCAGAAATCAGTTGCTTTCTCGACCACAGAGGCAGAATATATGGCACTGAAGCTAGCAGCTCAGGAAGCTGTTTGGCGGAAGAGACTTTATGAATCCATGACCCAGAATTCACAGCAGCCGATTCGAGTCACAGAAGACAATTAAGGAGCAATTATATTGACAAAAAATCCACAGTTCCATGAGAGAACAAAGCATGTTGATGTTAGCTATCATTTCACCAGGCAAGCAATTCATGATCGCATTATGAACATTGTTGGATGTGGAACCAAGAATATGGTTGCAGACCTTTTGACCAAAGGAATTCCAAGAGACCAATCTGAAAAGCTGAGATCATTGACGGGAATGAACTGAATGATGGAGAAAGTGGGTGTGTTGTAAATAGTGTTCCATTATGCAGTAGGATCAAGAGTTTCTTGGAGGGAACTGAAACCCTAAGTAAACTACTGGGTGCAACCGGAAGGAACCAGAAGGAACTGGAAGTAACTAGAAGGAGCTAGAAGGAACTGGAAGGCACGGGAGGAAACTGAAAGATGCTGGAAGGTTCTGGCAAGTACCAGATGATGATGATGATGATAAATCTCTGTTTTAAGTCCGTTGCAACAACTAGGTTATGACAGACTAACACCCCCTTCACCACTATATAATAAAACAAAATAGATCCTAAGAGCGTGTCACAATAACAAATAAATCTCCAAGTCAAAAATAATACAAAGAAATCTTGCAAAATTCAGTATATCATATTTCAAATAATAAATAAAATCCAAAACAATTCAATAATAACTTTCCAAGCTATCAACGTCCCTAGGAGGCCTCACGGCTACTCCTCACTCCTCATTACTGGCGATCCCCGCTCTCAAATCCACCAAAAAATTGATCCATAACTCATCCCTCTGGCTCTTAGTGAGAGACTTGTGCTGATGATACCAGTGACCAGTGCCAACATGGGTCTTCTGAATATATTTGATGAGTGCAGAAAGACCTCTGTTTGTCCATAGAATGCGATCGAGCGTGCGTTCGGCTATAGGGATATCTTCAAAGGCATTCTTCCGTTCCTCTGTGTGCTTGGAACAAGAAAGAAGCACATGCTCAACTGACTGCAGTGAGTCTCAACACCAACAGTCTGGAGAGGGACGAGGCTCCCTGCCATGTCTTGCAAAATAGCTGTTGAAGAAGCCATGTCCAGTCCGGAAGCTCACAATACAACTGGCAATGCTGCGGGAGATATTCACAAGCGGCTTGTCAATAGAGAGCCGTGTTGCAATAGGTGTTCTGTTGTCTCAAGAGTTCTGGTAGCGAAGCCTGGAAGTGCAGGAGTCTCTGCTGGAATTGCACTCATGATGGTTGATAACACAATTTATTTAAAAGGACTAGTCGTTGGTCAGATACACGTTTGTTCCTTTTGCTGATAATAAATTCTGACAACGAGCTCGGGA